CGTACACATCCACTACTTAATGGCCCTGTAATATATTTTTCAAGAAATCATTATTGTGTTTTTCTGCCTCCTTGTAATGTCCTTCATGAGCTCATGAACCTTTCCTTTCCATTAGTTGTGGTCATGTGCACTGCTAAATGCACACTAAAAATCCCATAGTCCATAGTCCCTAGTCCAGGAGCGCTCAACCTTTTAAAGAGCAAGGGCCACATAAGTGATTTAGTAACCTGTTGCGGGCCACAATGAAATGAAATGATTCAGAATTTTGATTTTTGATTTTGGATAGCATATAGAATATTTTCCTCCTGCAGTCGCTGAACGCTGGCAGGAGGGAGAGGAGGAGAAGCTGGATTTCAGTAGTTGCAAGAGGAAAATGGGGAGAATGTGACAGGGAGGCCACATGGGCTCCCTGGAGCATGGGACAGGGTCACCAATGCAACCCCTGATTCTACACCAGTAGTTGGGGGTGTGTAGTAAAAACACATCTCAACTATGGGGTTTTACAGCCACCAAACCGCAAATGTAAATTAGCCCTTACTGTCCTGAGCTCCCTATAAGGCTGCTTTCACACTTATCTACTGCGGTTTACCAGAACTGCAGATGCAGCTCAGTGCACCTGCAACTTAGCTGCTCTTTGCCATAGACTGATATTATAGCTTCTGGGTGCGGTGCACTTTCTGAAAGTGCACCAAAACTCCTACATTCAGGAGTTTTAGTGTGCTTTCAGAAAGCACAACGAATCCATAGGATATAAGAGAAGTCTATGTCTCTGTGCTGCATCTATGAATCAGTGTGAAAGTAGCCTAATAGTTGTTAACACTTTTTAGGTGCTAATATACCCATTGCAAAAGTGCAGTGTATGTGTTGTTTAATACAATTACCTTTTTTTCCTCTTACAGCTTCTGCTGGCATCACTCTCCAGGTTGCCAGAAAGGTCCCAGGTGATCTGCACTTGGTATCAATCCACCTGGGATAGGAGCCAGTTCTACAGAAGAAGCATCGGTTTGTGCAGCTCCTGCTCTCTCCAAGGTCACCGGCTTCCTCTGCTGCCAGAGCTGGCTTGATGTACTTGATGTTCTGAGATGGTGGGTTGGCAAGCTCAGATCATGGACAACAGGTTTCCAACCCTGAGATTCCCTGGTCAGAGGGTTCCTGAGGGCCATAGGTTGAACACCCTTGCCTTAGACCACCTCTGGAATGAGTTAGAAAGGGTGGCTACATTTGTACATACAGTGGGACCATGAAGAATGAAGATAGCCACAAGAAATTGGATCTGAGTAGCAAAAAAGGAATTTGGAGGCAGCTTGGAGCTTTTTTGAGTTAGGAATATGTACTTAAATATAACTTACTTTTTTAAACCAGAGTTTAATGTCACTTTAATAAAAAAAAACTATAAACCATAAACCATGTAAAAAATAAAATAAAATTGACTCAAATTGTTATAGCTTTATTGTAAAATGTAATGTTAAGTGTAACATAAAGCAAGATTTGTGTTTACCAATATACGTATCAAGCGAGAAAAAATCCGTACTTGCAAACATTTGATTCAGCTAAATGTTGTAGATTTGTCTGGTTTGAGGAAGGTCATACAATCCAGACATTTGTGTTTTATGAATTTTCCACAGACTGAAGATATCTGCATACAAATGTTCAAGCAAATAAAAAAAAAATCTATTTTGCCTGCTTTGCGAAATGATTTGCTTATTGCTATGTATTAATATTTTTTCTTCCAATCTCCATGAAAACACAATAGGAAGAATGCATTTATAGCCTTCTACAGCTGTGTGGGCAAGACATGTAATCTTAACATTAATGATCTGATCATTTATCTCCCTTAAGACCACACTGCTTATGCTCTACTGTATATCAGCCTCACAAAAAGGAAGAATGCTGCTGTTTACTGAGATATCAACTGGCATTTCACTTCAAGTCAATGGTCTATTTTTGTTAAAGCGTATTAGACTACAATCTGACATCTACAAATGTCAGAGGTATAAGGAAGAAGTGGGGAGTAGAAAAAATAGGGGGAATGTGATCCAAAACAATGCACAAAAATTTCTAATATGAAAATAAAAATAGTCAATTGACCCTTTTATGGCTGGTTAAATTTGTTGATTGAGATGTATTCCTTGCTTGCTGGTAGAAAAAAAATGAATTTCTATCTACAACACTCATCCAGCCAATATTCAACTGTCAATCTCAAAGCAACAACGAGGCAGTAATGATGTCAGCAGGACAGGATAATAAAATTTCAAGCAGATGTTCAGGCAGGGCTCTAATTTTCCCTCAATTCCCTTGGTAAGCATTTAATTTCTTTATTATATGCAAGCTAGGCAAATTGTACTTCATCAAAACTGTATTGTGAAATTTTAATATTTCATATCATAACAAAACTACGCAGAGCAACCTTTCTCATAATAGGAACATCAGAATTTCAAATGTCAAGCCTCTCCATTTTAATATATTTTAAATAGCATCTTTTTTTTCCCCCTTTGCACCATAAAGTTGGATTTGTTCTTATGCAGAATATATTTATCCAGCTCGTTATTTGTTTTATTTCAAACAAAACTCCACCCAAAGTATTTCATTTTAACAAATAACCCCCTCAAGGTTCATAATAAAGTGATTTGAACATCACTGCTGTAAAGGATTCTACTACCTTTTCAAGGGAGCGAAATCCATTTAAAGCAGTATTAAACCCCAAACCAAAATGTAATATATTAAAGCATACCAAACCATTAGAAGTGGTGGTTCCCTCTGTTTTCACCTGGCTAGTAACACACCTCTTGCATTACAGTGCCTCCACTCTGGATAAATGAGTACGGAGGGCACAGCAGACAACAGCACTGTCAGCCTGGGGGGAGGTAAGTGTTAGAGCACTAGAAAATTTAGATTCTCTAACAAATTGAAGCCAAAACTCCAACTAACACTTTTTAAGCAGTTAAAGAAACAGTTTTTTTCCCCCTTTTGGGATAAAGGTTTTACATAAATGAAAAAAAGTTGACCATTGTAAGCACCCCCGGCAGTAATAAATGGTTTGTCTCAACCCTTTAACATCTGCAACTGCAGAACAGCTGGTCTGTTGAAAAAAACAACAGACTTCTTGGCCAGATCAACAGGTGAAAATAAAGGAAAGAAAGTCTAATTAAGAAAACTAATGCAGTCATCACATCTAAGAATTTGTAAAATTATAATAAATGGTTATTTTGTGTTTAATACCACTTTAAGCGACACTATGATGTATAATATAGGGTCTAAAGGCCAACTGCTTAAGTTTCCCAAGGTTATAAGGAGAGAAAAGAGAAAATAGAAGGAAGAGAAAAGAGAGAGAAGAGAGAGAAAAGAGAGAAAAGAGAGGAGAGAAAAGAGAGAGAAGAGAAAAAAGAAAAGAGAGAAGAGTGAAGAGAGAAGAGAGAAGGGAGGAGAGAGGAGGGAGGAGAGAGGAGAGAGGAGGGAGGAGAGAGGAGAGAGAGAGAGAGGAGAGAGGGGAGAGAGGAGAGAGGAGAGAGGAGAGGAGGAGGAGGAGGGAGGAGGGAGGAGGGAGGAGGGAGGAGGGAGGAGGAGAGAAGGAGGAGAGAGGAGAGAGTAGGAGGGAGGAGGGAGGAGGCAGGAGAGAGGAGAGAGGAGAAAGGAAAGAGGAGAGAGAAGAGAGAAGAGAAGCGAAGCGAAGAGAAGGTGTTCTGCAGCCCTGACACAGTTTCTATCCTATGTTGACAACACTGCCCCTCTATTGATACAGCACATTGTGTAAGTGCTATCACCTTATGATAGAAAGTGTGTTACTGGCAAGTTCAAACTGAAAAATAAATGAGAAACAAATCCTGATAAATGAAAACTAATGCAGCCACCACAAGGACTGGTAAGCAGCAATATATGACATTTTGTTCTTGAGCTTAGATACACTTTAAAGTTGAGTGAAAGTTTACAGTTTTGAGAACAAATAAATAAATCCTTAGGCTGGTTTCACACACTTATGTTATGGTAATGCACAGAAAAGTTATGTTTTACCATGCGTTAACACAAGGCACAGTAATTCACAATCCTCAGTGTGTTGCAGTGTGCACTCCAATGCACTTTTCCAGCGTTTCTTAATATTCATTCATTTCAGCATACCACAAACCACATACAGTATGAGAACCATCTGAACATTATGGCTTGGTGCTTTGAAAAACTGGATGCATGTTTTATGCTTGTTGTGGTGTGTTGGCAGTCCTTTCAGAATGACAGGACCTACGTTGCATTAGTGTGAGATGTTAATGTGCGAAATACTGCGTGTTAATTGTGTGCTCTGTAACTCACTACAGTGCACCATATAAATGTCCCCTTATATATGATTTGATCACTTAGATACAAACAAGTGATTCTTTTTACAGATATGGTCTGATTAGCAGCAGGCAGTGTCTATATACTGCAATATTTATTGCACCTTCAGCAAACTCATACATGTAGAGGATCCACCATAGAAAAATGTCACCATTACTAGCTCAGTTCATGCAAATTGATCAGTGGCTGAACCCTATTCATGTGCCACTTTTCAATGGAAACCATATCTATGGACAAGACACTCAACCAAATGCTCATTTTAGCTGTTTAGGCCTGAGGGATGATAATGATATATTTTGGCTCTTTAAAGCAGAGCTCCACCCAAAAGGGGAAGTTCCACTTTAAGCCTTTGTCCTCCGCTCCCCATTAAGGATTGGCCTTTGGGTAGCAGGTACACAAATTTGACAGGTACCCACTCCCACTTCCGCTGCGATCACCTAGGTGATTGGAAGTGGAAGTTGTTCTCCTCCCCGTAGTCTTCTGCGACACGTGACAAGTCCCAGAAGACTATGGGGCCATTCACAAAGTGCATCACTTCTCGCGCATGCGCAGTGGGCACCCGGCTGTGAAGCTACAAGCTGTCACAGCTGGGTGCCCACACTGAAGATGTCGGCGCCAGGGAGAGAAGACAGCCAGTGAAACCAGCGGTGGTGAAGACACCTCTGGACCGAGGGACAGGTAAGTGCAGGGGCGGACTGACCATTTGGAAACTCGGGCATTGCCCGAGGGCCCGGGGTCAGTAGGGAGCCCCATGAGATGCCCCTGGTACCTTTTTCATAGGCTTTTTTGAGTTTGGGCAAGGAAACAGGGGCCCCATGATCCCCTATTGCCCGGTGGGTCCTATGAGTTGTCAGTCCGCCCCTGGGTAAGTGTCTGTATTTTAAAAGTCAGCAGCTACAGTTTTTGTAGTTGCTGACTTTTATTTATTTTTTTAGGTTGAACTCTTTAAGTTCATGTACATTAATATGACTTTTTAGAATTGCCGACTTGTAACCAGGCCACAGCAATACAATGAAACAGGTAAGGACTGTATTTCAGAATTTGCATTTCTGTTGTTGATTTACTCATGTGATTTGGATCATTTTCATTTTGCATGACTTAGATTCCTTTTTAGAGTTTTAAATCATACCCAGATCAGAGAATCAGACCCACTGTTCTATTGTAGATTTTGCTAATACAATATAGTCATGGTCATGAGTCAGCAAAGCAGTCACCCCACCAGTACCTTTCACTATTCTTCACATTTGGGATGAAGTTCTGGTGGGCATACAGCAATAGCTGGCATTTTATCAGACGTGCAGTGATTACCTGTGGTAGCATGGCCCTGGACACAAACAGTGTTGCATCCAAGGCTGATAATCTGCAGGTAATTGCTGCATGACCAATCACATTCCTATAGTTGCGGTTTCATTGCTCTGTATAGGGCTTCCTGCCTGTAGCTGTTCCCGTAAACCTTTTTGAGTTTCCCACGGTAATTCATAGTTTGCCCCTAAATGCAAGTGTGACTGGGGTCTAAAGAAAAAAAAATGAAGAAATAAAAATAAAAACAAAACAGTGCAGATGAAAAAAAGACAAAAATTGTAAGGATAAAAGAATAGAGTTATTCAGGGATAAGTAAGTGCAAAAAGGAGTCACTAAAGGGTTATATAGGAAAGATGTTTCTACTAGGCATGCAACAAAATTTCGGTGGCCGAAATGTTTCGGTCGAAAACACCCCTTTCGGCCGTTGGCCGAAATGAAAAAGAAAGCACTAATACAGGTGCAGAAAAAACCCCACCCTTCATCGCAGCCCGCCCGCTGTCGCCTGTCACCACCGCCTGCCGTCGCCATCCTGCCCCTCGCAGCTCCCCTCCGCTCGGTAGTTCTCAGCCTTACCTGAGAAACCATTGATCAAGGCACTGGGCATAGAGATGAGTGAAGGAAATATGGCCGCTGCTCACCTCTATGCCCTTGGAGCACTTCCCGTTCCAGCTTTTTTTTTTTCTTTTTAAAGCATTAAATCAATTCTTTTTTTTTTATCCAAATGGTTTACATTGCAGAGGAGAGAGACCTGTCACTAAATATTTCTATCACAAGGGATGCATGCATTTCTTGTCATAGGAATAAAAGTGATCAAAAAATTTTTTTAAAGGGACAGTGCAAAAAAATAAATAAATTACATTTTTTTTTAAAGAGCCCCCGTGCTCGCACGTAGTGGTGAACGCATACGTAGGCCATGCCCACATATGTAAATGGTGTTCAAACCACGCATGTGAGGTATCGCCATGAACATCAGCACAAGTGCAATAAAAGAAAATGTTTCAGGTAAGTTTATATTGTTAGTATTGGTATTACAGTGCTGATGTTATGTAATGAAAGTGTATGTTGTGACCATAGATTTTTCTTTAAACAAAAAAACAGATCAGCTGAATCCAATTTTGCTTACACATACAGGCTGAAATATTAGAGGGTTTCTTTACATTTTGGCATGAAAACAACTTTTACAGCTGATTAGAGCTGAATTAGCTGCTGAGAGCATCTATGACTCAAAGCTGGAACCCAGCTGTCAATTTGCAGCTGGTCCCAGCAGCTACACTCATGGATGGGGCATGAGCTGAAGAGGACTCTAGATCATGTAAAATATGCCATTGGTCCTTTAATAATATGAGCTTTTTTGCTTCTTCCCTTTTAATATGTTAAATAGATTGTTTAAAGTGTTTTTTTACATCTGTTCAAACATACCTGCTGATCCTGCCAAAAACCTTGTGACCAGATAACTTCCTTGGCCTTCTGCCTGTGCTAAATTGCTAACCGCATTATTTCCAGCTATTTCTATGGACTACAAAACACTCCCATGTTATGGGATCGGAGATGGAAGATGTTCTGTAGTCCCATCCTGGGGTGACAACACTGCTTCTCCATAGACAAGTACAGTGAGTATTGTCACTCTAGGACAGGAAACATTTTACTGGCAAGTAAAAAAGAAAATGAATGCAGCCACCACAACTAAGGACTGATAAACTGAAAAGTATGGCATTTTTTTTGTGGGGGGTTAACTATATATTAACTTGCTAACAACACTAAATATATAAAATATTTGATCATCGATGTTATTAAAATAGAATACGCTCTAGATGTTTTTGTTACAGGACATCACAATGGAGAAATAGAAGTTGTCATAATTCACCTCCTTTTTAACCGCCTCCCACCCGCCATATAGGGCACAAGGCGGTTCTCTCATCCTGGGAGGACGTCATATGACGTCGTCCCATTCTAACCGCGCATTCACAGCTCCGGGAGCACGCAGCGCGGCGATTGGCGGTGCGCTATGTCCCTGGGACACAGCGGATCACTGATCAATGGAAAGAGTCAAAGATATCGGATAGGTCATGTGATCAGCTGTGTCCAATCACAGCTGATCGCATGTAAATAGGGAAATACCGGTTATCGGAATTTCTCTCCTCACCAGCTGTCACGCTGACAGCTCGAGAGGAGGGAGAGCCGGTAATCGGTATCCCTCAGAGGGGACATGTACACTGATCATCAGGTCACTGATGATCAGTGTGCCCTGATGATCTCTGTAGCCCCAGCAATGCCACCTGTCAGTATCCATCAGTGCCAGCTGTCAGTGCTCATCCATGCCACCTGCCAGTGCCTATCAGTGCCACATCAATGCCACATTTCAGTGCCTACCAGTGCACATCAATGCCAAATATCAGTGCCCATCTGAGCTGCCTTTCAGTGTCACCCATCAGTGCCAGTCAGTGCCACCTATCAATGCCAGTCAGTGCCACCTATCAGTGCTGCCAATCAATGCCACCTATCAGTGCCAGTCAGTGCTGCCTATCAGTGCCAGTCAGTGCCGCCTATCAGTATGCATCAGTGCCGCCTATCAGTGCCCATCAGTGCTGCCTATCAGTGCAGCCTAACAGTGCCAGTCAGTGCCACCTAACAGTGCCAGTCAGTGCCACCTATCAGTGCCAGTTAGTGCCTCCTATCAGTGCCATCTATCAGTGCCATATATGAGTGCTGCCTTTTAGTGCCCATCAGTGATGCCTGTCAATGCCCATCAGTGCCACCAACCAGTGCCTCCTCATCAGTGCCCATCAGTGCCACCTATCAGTGTACATCAGTGCAGCCTATCAGTGCCCATCACTGCAGCCTCATTACTGCACATCAGTGAAGGAGAAAAAATCACTTATTTACAAAATTTTATATCAAAAACTAAGAAAAAACTTTTTTTCCCAAAAATTTTCAGTGTTTTTTGGTCTGTTTAGGAAAAAATAAAAAACCCAGAGGGGATTAAATACCACCAAAATAAAGCTCTCTCTGTCACAAAAAAATGATAAAAATGTCATATGGGTACAGTGTTGCATGACCACGCAATTGTCATTCAAAATGCAACAGCGCTGAAAGCTTGAAATTGGCCTGGGCAGGAAGGGGGTATAAGTGCCCTGCAGGCTAGTGGTTAAAATGTCATTTGCCTGGATGTCATGATGACCCTAAGGGGTTTATTTATCACCTTTTGTATCACCTCTCCCTTCCTTTAGATTGAAAGCTCCACGAGCAGGGCCCTCATATTCCTTCTGTACTCAGATGTATTGTAATTGTACAGTCTCCCGTATAATGTAAAGCGCTGCACAAACTGATGGTGCTATATAAATCCTGTATAATAATAATAATAATAATTTGCTAAAACTGCAAAATCTGGTACAGCTGTGCATGGTAGTCAATCAGTTTCTAACTTCAGCTTGTTCAGTTAAGCTTTGACAAAAAAATGGAAGCAGATTGGTTTATATGCAGAGCTGCACCTGATTTTGCACTCCCCAGTTTTACCAAATCAACCCCTAAGGCTTCAATATATTCTGAGTCATTGACCCAGAGTGCACATTCAGCAAGTGCTAGAATGATATCAGAATTCTTGATTTTATCCTTGTTGCTAGACAGTAACTCAAAAAGTATTGAAACCTGAGGGTGATACACCAAGCAAGCCAAAGCCTTATTTATCAATGCTCTCTTAAAATTATTACCGTACTATTATTATTATAATTCAATGATATCAGATTTTGCAAACTTTCAGAATATGCATAACCACTGCATACTGTACTTTTCCATCAATACATATAATGTTTATTAAGAGCTTTGTAAGTTCAGGTGTCTATTTAAAAAAAAGCAATGAACAATACATATATAGGAATTATTTCTGCAGACAATCACATATTTACTATTGCTTGGCAAAAACATAAAATACGGTAATTAAATGTTTTATGAGCCATAGAGACATCCCAGTAATATATATTTTTTTTGTGTTTTGGCAGTTTATGTAACCTGATAAGATGTAAGTTTATTATCAATTGTTCAATTCTGTTGATATCTACTTTAATTAACAATGGACAAGTTCATATGTCTTCCACAGAGACCAACCCAGAGACAACCAGAGTGATATTTGTCTGCTTCCAAACATAGTAATGACATTTTTATTGAGAAACCCGTGCAATGGTAAAATTTTTAAAGGATTATATTTACAACTATTGGTAGATGCCAGGTTAACTGAATAAATGCTAAGTTCAGATACAGACAAATATCATCTAGAAGGAGTAGGTCATGTTGAATTTTATCTTGATATTCAGTACTTTCAAATATTTAGCAGATGACCTACAGTTTGTGTTATATTATTAGATGAATGCTGTGCGTGGCTGTAAGAAATGTGGGAGATGTCATTGCTGATTTCTCTCTAATAATACTTGTTGGCTGTTTGTTGTACTGACCCTGTATCTACAATACTTATTGAGCCACATACCCATCCTTCAGAGATCATGTGATCAAATGCCTAAGCTTTTGGCTATGGGATCAACACTGAAGGGACCCTGAAACAGCATTTTTCTACATGTAAAGACTTCAACCAATTACTATTTCTGTTAATATAGGTTTAAGATAACATTAGTTTATAGTTCCACTTTAAAGTGGTTGTAAACTCTGTTTTTTAATTTTACCTACAGGTAAGCTTATAATAAAGCTTACCTGTAGGTAAAATGAATGTTTCCTAAACGTGCACCATTTAGGAGATATTCTTTTTTCATTTCTTCCTTCAGAGCTGTGCGCCGTGGCCCAGGACTCCCGTGCGCATGTGCTGGAGTGACGTCATCATGGCTTGGCCTGTCAGAAGGCTGGAGCTCACGAACCCGGAGGGAAGACAGGTGAAGATGGAAGACTCTATAGCTGTGACAGTGCACCAGTGGAGGGCTTCGTTTTAAGGTAAGTTTTACATAGTGTGCTAGTATGCGATGCATACTAGCACATTGTGACATTACCTTGCAGGGGCCTTTTAAAAAAAACATTTGTCTGCGGTTTACTACCGCTTTAATCCCATTGCTTATTTTGGCATATTCAGAAAAAAAATGGAAATGCTTCAAGTTTATCTATAGCTAAAACTATTTTTAGTTTTGAACACAGTAAAAAAGGTGTAAACTCCTGTCAGTTTAATTTTTGCTATAAGTGGTCCTGTCCTACGCCACCCAAAACTATGAGCATGTTTTGGCTGTGAATACAATTTAACACAGCAGCATATCTAAAATAATGCACACTTAGAAAAGAATACACTTCATGGGAAGGTAACAGGGTCCCTGAACAAATCATATGCTCATCTAGTCATCATCTAGTGTTAAACTTGTGTTTTACCCATTCCCAGCTACACATACTCAACTATTCATTCTCTGCTATTCCATTTGGCCATTGGGAGCAGAGGAAGCAATGTCACAACTTGAAGTTTACACAAGGCAGGGGACTCTTACCCTATCCAATAGATGCCTAGGCAGCCAATTATTAGAACCTAGATCTCTCACATGAAAGGAGAGTACATTTTAAGCCACTCAGCAATACAGAATATATTTTTCCCTCTTAACATTGAACAGAGCAGAAACAGAAAGGTGATTATATGATGACGGTGTAAGCAACAGTTTAGTTGTTACTTTACCTTCCATGGGCAAATCACAGGTTCACTTTATAGTCCCAATTCACCTTTTTTAAAGTGGAAATTACATTGCTCAGTAGGTTTTTAAATAAAAAGTAGCTTATGATACTAATCTCCTCCCCAGCACTGTCCTGCTGCATACTCACCACATTGTGATCCAGTGCCTGTCTTCTCTTCTGGGTTAATTAATGCCCAGTATCATCCAAACCATTTGCTTTGAGCCCAGACCATCATGGACACATCCCTTGTTGGTACGTCCATCATATCAGCTAAAATTCACTGTACCCTTTGATAGAAACAAAGCTCCCATTTCATTATATGAGTGCAACTCAGTATAGGAGTAAGGATTGCCCTCTTAAGGAGAGGTGGAAGGACCTGTGCCATTATATGACTAGCCTAGAGACTGTGGGATATACGGTATGCATAAAGTATTTTTTTTTTAAAAGTTGAGACATAGATGGAAAGCTTCAAGGAGTGGGCAGAATGAAGGAGGTATTTGACATACAAAAGCTGGAGTTGGGGTTTACGTCAGTTAAGATACAACCTGCAAACCTTCTTCCATAGCAACTTGACAGAGGTACTTGGTCTGTATATACAGACATTTTGTAAGCCAAATGCCTTTGCTATTAACCTACATTATTAACACACTGCCAGAAGGTATTTGATTCCCTTTGTTGCTAGTTTAACAGAATAGATAATCAGCTGAATGATCAGATAGGAAGTAACTGTAGTTTAGCAAACAGATGCAAAGTAAAATGAAATAACAAAACAGATTAGGATGGCTAAACATGTACAAACATGATCTCTTCACAGCAGTGTGATCAGGGTAACAAGTGACTGCATAAAATTGTCTCTGTTAGACTCTCTACCAGCAGAGAGTCAAGTTGAGAAGCCAGTAAAACAGTTAAAAACACAGCCACTTATGATTTTCTTCATCACAAATAGCATCCTTCACAGTGAAGTCCAGAATAGCTCTGGTAACACAAGTAAACAGCTGCAGGGATCCAAGACATAATGACAAGGGCCTCCGTACTGAAACTAGAGTACTCTGGTACCATTCAGGAAGGACGTATCCACAGTACTTTGTTCTTCTGGAGAAACCATTTGCCATTAGCCTCTGGCCTGCCTATCTGCATGCTGGTTCTGACAGAGGAGGACCTCTCACCTGGCTATAGATCTCTTGGTACCTCTGCCTCATCAGGCATGGCCTTCTCTGAGCTGTTGATGGAAGGAGCAGGGGCAGACTGACAACTCATGGGGCCCCTGAGCAATAGGGGATCAGGGGGCCCCTGTGTCCTTGCCCACACTCAAGAAATCCTATAAAAAAGGTACCAGGGGAATTTCATGGGGGCCCCCTACTGACCCCGGGCCCTCGGACAGTGCCCGAGTGCTCGAATGGTCAGTCCAGCCCTGGGAAGGAGGCTACTTATACTCTCTGGTTATGTTCAGGAACCCAGAAAGCTGTAAAAAATGGAGTTAAAGGGGGCCTACACCTGTAAACAAAAATGGTGAGTAAAAGGCCACTCCACTGGTACCCAGATCAGTTGAATAGAAGTACAAATTTGAATCGTATTTTCATTTAGTTTTATAAAATATCCTTGAAAAAAACAACTGCTGATTTCTATAGTTTACATCCTAAAAAATGTTGCATGCATACAATCTTATTTATTTTATTAATAACATCCTTGATCAGATCAGGTAACAATGAATGGTCATGTGCAGGTCTAGGCATTTTTGTACTGCAGGAAGGGAAATTTGAGCATCTTCATAAAGCTTGGAAAGGGAACAGCTGGCACAGTCTTCACGGATGGAAGATAGTGCAAACACTTTTCCAAACGTGTTTCAAAAAGACAAGCAATGTTAATGTAGATGATTCAGAGATGTGAGCTACAACTTGTTATACAGCAGTTATTTTTACTTACAGGAAAGATAACTGCATTTGGAACAGCAACACTGACTTTTTCTGATGTGCAGATGAGCTAGGCAGTTTGTATTACAATATATACTGCAGGCTAACAGTTCCATCCAGATTGCACCTTTACATATCCTTATCATTTTTTACCTTATACTCTCTGTATTCTTTCACTTGGAAATTAAATCTCCTCTTTGTGAAAGTCAAGTATTAAACTAAAACCAATCTCATAGGAAAACCTCAGCTTGTTCATTTAGGCTTTGGCAATAAAACCTGGAAGCTGATTGGTTTCTAT